CAGCTGGTGGGGAAGAGACGCCTCTCTCCGTGCTGCATCGCTGCCGGGGCGCCCAGCGCTGCCCGTCCCTCGCCCCTCCCCGGCTGCCTCCCACAGGTCCCTCTCACCAGCTTCACTGCCAGCTTGTACTTCTTTTCTTCCGACATGATGTTGGCTGGGGCAGGTGGAGCAGTGGTTTGGTTGCCCGCAGAGGTTTGGTTGTCTGCAGAGGTTTGGTTGTCTGCAGTGGTTTCGTTGCCCCCAGCAGTCTGGTTGCCCCCCGCAGTCTGGTCGCTCTCAAAGATGTCCAGGATGACGGGGTTGTCTTTGTCGTGCTCGTCGATGAGGACCAGGGGTATCTGGTGCCAGAGCCGCAGGTCGAGCGGCGGGGAGGCGTTCTCACTGCTGTTCCCTGGCGTGGGCTGCAGGATCCTCTCCAGCGCCGCCTCGATGAGCCTGTCCAGTTCTTTCAGCAGATGCTTCACCTCTGAGTATCTGCAGGACAGAGAAGGTTACCGGGTGGTGTCGAGGCGGGGGGACGTGCAGCAGCTCGTCTGCCACACAGCTGGCTTGGACCTTCCTGGGGACCTCGGATCGCTGCCTAAAGATTTACTGGAGAATGATGGGAGCCTCCGTGCAGAGCACGACCAGCTCGGACGTGGGCATCCCAGCAGCCTGCCACCGGGTGGGAAACTTGCAGGGGGATAAACAGACAGTGCTGCCGTGGTGAACCTGCCAGTGCAGCACCAACCGGCTGCAATTCAGTAATTCACTGCAGTTTACACAAAACGTCTCTACCAAGCAGAGAGAAAAAACCACCCCAAAGTAACGCCTGTGTGTTGGTGGAGAGCATCTTGCCTCGGGCTGCGCTCTTGCATGGATGTAAATTCAAAGCACTCCAACAAAAATCAGTCGCTCCTTTGAAATTACGATCGAGTGATATCACTGCAGCTCCCAGCAGATACCACTGTTTAACCAGCTCTTAATGGCCAGAGTGTGAGCGATAAGAGGCACGTTCACGGTGAGGAAGGAGAAAGAAAGGAATTGTGGGGAAAGATCGAGAGACTGATTTTGGTTGTGACAAGTGAGTTGAACTTCGAGTTTTCCCTGAGCCAGGGAAAGTTTGCAGGGAGGCAACGACCACCATTAGATTAACGGATACAGTAGGGAGACGCAGGCAAACTCGGGCACACGAACCCTCCTCTGGACCTGAGCCGTTCATCTTCATACTGTTCTCCTTTACTTGGTTTTTAGTGACGCTTCATGAGTCCATTGATGCTTCTAATGCGATAGCCGGGACGGGAACAGGTCACAGCACCTTATGCCAGCGGCAGAACCGAGGGCGTTAGAGCGTGGCGGGGTAAATTAGGCAAAGAAAAACTTACTTGAAAGGGTTGGCATTGCAGACCGTGACTGCCGGGAACTTCATGGTCTTGAAGCCAATAGAGAGAGACGAGGTGACGTTGTAGGAGAGGTAGGTGTTGATGAGGATGCCCCACTGCCAGAAGACCAGAGACGCAAAGAGCAGCGTTAGGAAGAACCAGATTAATTTCTTCTTCGGCCCCTCCTTGATGATGCGCTTCGGGCCGTGGGTGTTGGTGTTGTCGCAGTACCAGACCAGCAGCTCCTTGTAGGTGTAGCCAGGGCCCTTCTGCAGGCGGTGCAGCGCCCGAATGAAGTACTTCTTCAGGTTCATGCTGCTGTCTGCAGGTGGGAGACAGAATCGACACGGCAGGGTTTGCGTTAGGCCACGCGCACCGGTGTGGTCAGCAAGCGGAGCGGAGCCGGTGGCGCGGCGCGGTGCTACACCCCAGGAGAAACTCAGAGCAGAGGTTCCGCAGGGCCACGCCGTGGCAGTGACACGGCACAGAGCCCCTCACCTCCCGGGGGGCTGCCAGGGGGAGGGTTGTGCCTCGCCGTTCCGAAAGTGGCGAACGTTTGTGTCACGTCGCTTCTGGGGTCCCTCCTGGCCCCGCGGGAGGCGAGTGCCTCGGACCTGCTGGCCACGGCTCTGCCTGCGTGACTCAGCCGGCGCTGGCCCCCGGGCCCTGCGGGTGTTGCAATAACCAGCCAGGTCACTCCTGAGGACGTCGGTATTTTGTGTGCAAACGCCTCGGCTGCAACATCCTCCGAAACCTCGGCCGACGCTAGATGGACCAAGCGGTACACACGTGAGCTGGTTTCGGGTGGAATTCAGGCTAACAGCGTCTAGTGCTCAAGCTAATACAGGGCTTAAGATCATTTTTCTCACGAGAAAACAGTATTGCAGAGCGCCAGGCTATCGGAGGGGGCAGCAGAAGAGGACCTGGAACCAGCAGCCCCTTTCCCAGGACCAGGCGTGCTGTTCAGTGCTGCTGCCCGACGGAGGAAGGACAACGGATTGGTTTTTTCCACCAAATTCCTTTGTCTTTCAGATACTATCGGTATGCTTCCACTGCTCATGTGAGGGATGCTGCATATTTTACATTCATATTGTGAGTAAATAGAACATTTTGTGCTGCTATTTTAAGGTGAGAATTTGTGTTACTAAATCTTAATATCCCGAGGCAGGATTTCAAAACAGCTGCTTAGAACATTTTTCAAATTTAAGCTGTAGGGGAACAGAATTAAAGATTAATGCTGCATACAACTCAGCGTCCCAGAAGACAGAGTGCTGAAATAATCCAGCAGTATTTCAATAACGAGCGGTACTCAGCAAGACAGAAACTAGATTAACGCGGGGTTACTGTTAGACAGGCCAGCACAGGCACGAAGGGAAGGTGAGGGGTGTGCACAGGCCACTTGGGGAGTGGGAGCAGCTGTGTCCTGCCCGCCTTCCCCAAAAAAAGAAAAAAAAGGTAATACTGATTCATTGATTTATTGGCCAGGTCTGCCAAATCCCGAGTAGTACAGACAGTGTTTGACAAAAGGATAAAACCAATAGATTTTGTGGTGTCTCGCTCTGTGATGCAACGAGAGGTGATGATTTTCACTGTGCACCCCATTACCTGTGATGTCAGACGTGGCCCAGCCCCGTCAGGTCTCGACGGGAGGGCGCTTCGGCAAGAAGAAACCCCCGCTGCCTCCTCCAAGATCCGAGGGCAGCCTCTACCCCCGTGTGAAAGCGTTTTGGTCTCCAATAAACATGTGTCTTGGGACTGGGACCTCCCGGACCTCCCGGACCCCCGACCCACCCGCGCATCGTTGGCTCGTCCTGCGTGACGCCGTGCCCCAGAGGTGCCCACCCCCGGCTGCCCGCAGCAGGGTTTGCCCGTGGAAGGAGCTGACGTTGTGTCAGGCGCTTTTGGGCAGGACCGTAACGAAACCAGGAGCCGCCACCTCGGCCTCTGCGCAATCGCCCCGGCTGCGGGGAAGGTGTGAGACGCGGCCGCGCTGCCCGAGCCCTCTGCCGCCCGCCAGACCTCGAGCGCCCGGGCACGGCCGCGGGACGGGGCTCTGCTTTGTGAAACGGTCTCGTCGAAACACACTTCTACCCGGAGAGACCAGCAAGGCAAACTAGTAAATATTTTCCACGTTTTAAGAAATCCAATGAAAGATTTAGATTAGATTAAAATTTAGAACACGACTACATGGCGCTGGGCAAAATCCAGCCCGGCTGGACCTGACTGGCCGCACGCCCCGCAGCCTGTTTGCTCTGCTGCCTGCAGACCGTGCCGGCCAGGGACGGAGCATGGGCTCCTGCCGAGAGTCCCAGGGCTCCCAGTTCCACTGAAGGCTCCCAGTTTGTCGTACGGATCTTTGAGGGTTGCTCATCAACCTGACATTGCCGGAAGAAATTATCTCTTTCTATATTGTTTCCTGAAGCTGAATTTAAACTTTTTTTTCTTCCTGATGGCCATGTTGAGACACACACTTATGGGCTGCGGAGCACACACAGAGTGAAAGCTCTGCTTTCATCACCGAGTGAAGTTAAAGATTCTGAACGGCTAATTTCGATGCTGCTTTACCTTTGCTCACGGTTTTGCAGAAGTCATCGATACACTTGTTCTCCACCTTGAATTTATTTCCATTTAACCACCTAAGTTAAAGTCACAGCATGCTGCCAGCAATAGCAAGGGGAAGATGCTGTGCTAGAAGTGGAAGATCAGCTCCAAATCAGCTTTAAGCCCAGACTAGAGTGCCTTCTACCTCGCCTTATCTCTTCAGCTCACCAACCATAAAAACACCGTGCTGAAGGGCAGCCTTTTCACATTTTTAAGTTAAATTCAGGCCACACTGTGGAAAATGAGATTAAAGAAGTGTTTAGATGTGCTTTAAACTGATTCAGATCGATTTCTCCCCAATGTCAAAGCTATGGGACCAGTTCTTTGCAAGCGCTGCTCCATCCCGCGGCCCCACGGGGCACCAGCCAGCGGGAGCACAGGCACGGGGACGGATGGGGACAGGGACGGGGATGGGGTTGGCTGGAAGAGCATCCTCAGGCGGGGTCCCTGCAGCATCCCCGCCCCGCCATGGAGACACACAGATCCCGAAGTTAAAAACCCAGCTGAGCAAGTGCTGCTGGCGATCCAGCCAAGCAGGCAGTCCCGGGTTTTGTGGGGACACCTTAACACGGCAGCAGAGCGAAGGACTCAGGTTTCCTCTTCCTTTAGGCATAAGCTGTGGTTTTAAGTAAGTCATTTGATAACAGAAATGGCATTAAGCAAAAGCTGCACTTGGCCATACTTGGATGACGTTTTTTCAATCTTTTTTCTCACTTCAATAATTTTCTTCTTACCTTTATTTCCACAATGTTTCCAAATAGATGTCTTGGTTCAGGGCTCGGATGCTGCAGCTCTTTGGAGGGGGTTTGGTACCGGTTTTGGTGCCAGCCTGGCGCCTGTCCTGCTCTCCCCCATCAGTGGGCTGTACCTCGGGCAGAGAAGTGACAGATGAGGGACAAGACCCACCCTCCGTCGGTACACAGCGACCGTCACCCCTTCCCAAAACCCCCCTGGGGAAAGGGAGTGGAGGCTGCGGTGGGACAGGAGCTGAGGAGGACACCAGGGCTGGGGACCCCGAAGGTGCTTCCCCTTGACGGACACGCAGCCCGGCTCCTGCAGGGCAGGCCGCGGTGCCAAAGTCTGTCCCTGCTGCCGCCCTCTAATCCCCCGTGGCTTGCACAGCACCTGAAGCCCCAGGGCCCAGGCGTTTG